TATATATATATATTATTTTATTTTTCATCATTTTAATTATATGATAATTATTGATGTCAAAAATAAAATATGATATATTTCAAATATGTGATGTACGAAATTTCAAGAAGAAAATCCAAGACCATTTTGATTTTATACATAAAGTATTTTTAATGTCAAATTAATATATTTGATTATTATTTGATGTAGGGATTCTATTTTGTTTTGTAGCTATGATATTAAACATTTACACATGGTGTTAAGACATATACATGGACTTATGCTTAACATTAATTTCCTAGCAATTTCCTAAATATACTTTATTATAAAATGAGGTCTTGATTTTGAAAAATATATCTCAAATTTTCGGCCATCCCAATTTTAGAGAGAAGAAAATTATATTTTGTGTTCAAAGTTATATTTCTAAAGTGTTAGAAATATACAAAAAATATTATAAAGAAATATTTATAAGATAAATATTTTACTATATATTTATTACTCCCAAAGTAGTATTATTATAGTTTTTACTATCCTATATTAAACTTGCTAGCACAAGTTTAATCTTGGACTTCGGAGCAAGTTCGTGTGGATACGTTGGAGGCTTCATACGTTTGGCGCTACGTTCATCTCCTCAAAACCATCTCCGACCGTTCCTCCGTTCTCCGTTTTCACCGTTAAGTTAAATTTCTTACTATAGCTAGTAATTTACGTAAGTTGTTCTTGGGTGGAATCGAGTTTTGGACTATAAATTTTTGTTTTCCGCTGCGTTATCCAAGCCTCGTTTCCCAACAATACCTCGTATTAAGATGGGAATGTAAAGAACTCAAAAGGATTGATTGTACTACTCATACCAACAAGGTGCATCTTCTTTTCGAGAGTTCATCACCTAAAAAACTCCAAAGTTAAGCGTGCTTGACCTGGAGCAATTTTAGGATAGGTGACCCCCTGGGAAGTTTTCCTTGGGCGCGCACGAGTGAGGACAAAGTGTGCAGGAAAGACTTGTGTTGGTTTGTAGGGCCAATCTACAATCCTATGAGCGGACACTTACGGCTAGGGTGGGGTCCGGGGTGTTACAAATAGTATCAGAGCAACCCTGCGACCGTGACGGGCTAAAAGAGCTGAGTTCACCTAGCGGGGAAGATCTATGGGTTCAAAAAAAAGGATGTAACAAGGACGTTGCATTCCAAAGTTAAGCGTGCTTGACCTGGAGTAATTTTAGGATGGGTGACCACCTGGAAAGTTTTCCTTGGGCGCGCACGAGTGAGGACAAAGTGTGCAGGAAAGTCTTGTGTTGGTTTGTGGGGCCAATCTACAATCCTATGAGCGGACACTTACGGCTAGGGTGGGGTCCGGGGTGTTACAAATAGTATCAGAGCAACCCTGCGACCGTGACGGGCTAAAAGAGCTGAGTTCACCTAGCGGGGAAGATCTATGGGTTCAAAAAAAGGATGTAACGAGGACGTTGCATTCCTAAGTGGGGGTGAATGTAATACCCCGTATTAAGATGGGAATGTGAAGAGCTCAAAAGGATTGATTGTACTACTTATACCAACAAGGTGCATCTTCTTTTCGAGAGTTCATCACCTAAAAAACTGTAAAGTTAAGCATGCTTGACCTTGCAATTTTAGGATGGGTGACCCTTGGGAAGTTTTCCTTGGGCGCGCACGAGTGAGGATAAAGTGTGCGGGAAAGACTTGTGTTGGTTTGTGGGGCTAGTCTACAGTCCTATGAGCGAACACTTACGGCTAGGGTGGGGCCGGGGTGTTACATGAGTAGGGTGTATGTAGCACAGTTGTATAAGAAATCATATTATAGTACTCTGTATTTCGTATCATATATATGACCTTGTGTGGTAATGACTTTTTAGCCAATATTTAACTGTTTGACTATGTATGACTTTTTCGACCAGTTAAACAACCAAAATTAATGTTTGGACCATGACTTTTTATGATGTCCTTGTACTCATCTCGACATTTCAATTTCTTGAACGGAGCATTGTATGTAGGGTGCACAAAAATACCGTTGTGACATTGTTCCGAACCGGACTAACATTGTAACGAACCGAAAAACCGGTTTTTAAATGATTCTAGTAAATTATATCCACAACCGAATAGGATTGTTTTCAAAATGGTACAGGATGGGTTTCCAAAAAATAAATACCGAAAATACTGAGCCGAAGTGTTACCATTAAAATATTAAATTAAAAAATTAATTATATATTTTCATTTGTTAATTTTAGTAAGTTTAATGATATTAATTTCGAACTTAAACTTATGTTTTTTATAATACTTTATTACCTTGAAATACAACTCGAATTATAATTTATTTTGTTGAAAATGCGAACTATGATTAAGTTTTTTAAAAAAAATGTAACTAAGTAATACAAATGTTGAGTTAGTAGCTAAGAATGCATAAAAATATTTTTTTAATTACGTCATTTGTTTGTTATAAATAAAAGTATTTTCAAAACGTCGAATTATTATGAAATGGTTTGGTTTTAGTATGACATGGTATCATCCTGTTACCGAAAGACATGGTACCGAATGGGTCTAAGCATAAAACCCAAACCGTTTGAATATGAACAATATGGTTCGAGTTCTTTAAAAATACCGAAACGTCATGGACCGTGGGTTTATCCTTACCGTGGCACCCCCATTTTAAAAAATCTGTTCTAGTTAACTCCCATTATCGTTATCATTCGTTCTTCACCCTCCCCAGACCCTACTGTTGTGGCAAGGTCTGGGTACACACACCCTCCCCAGACCCTACTCTTGTGGGATTCACCTGAGTTGTTGTTATCATTCGTTCATCGTTACCACAATTGTTGGGCTAATTCCCATCATTATAAATAAAAATATTTTCAAAACGTCGAAGAATTATGGAATGAATTGGTATTAGTATGACATGGTACCATCCTCTTACCGAAAGACATGGTAACAAATGAATTTAGACATAAAACCGAAACCGTATCAAACCGTTTGAATATGAACAATATGATTCGATTTCTTTAAAAATACAGAACCGTCATGGACCGTGCTCACGGCTAAATCTTAATTGTATGTCCTTCTACCGTGGCACACCCATTTTAAAAAATCTGTCCTCCTCAGTCCTCACCCACCATACACGCCTTTCAATGAAAGGCATTCAATAACTGTACTTTTTCACTGCAATGCATCAGGCTACCACAAACTTACAAATGCCCAAACAAGAAACTCAAGGCAATATATTTTTGAAAAAAACAAAGTGGGGAAAGCTCATCATCATCCATTAATGGCGGACTGCGAGACGGAGGTCGTGCAGGCCCTAAGCACCGTCATCCAGCTCCACTTCGAGAAGACCCTCGAGAAGAAACGGGCAGTGGATCTGCAGAAGAAGGAGCTGTGGAAAATGTTCCAGCTCTTCTTCATATTCCTGGCCCTGGTTGTCCTGGGCCAGGCCCAATCATCCAGGCTGCAGTGCCGCCACTGTTGGGTGCCCATTGGGCTTCTCTCGATGGGCCACCTCATCTTTTACGTGTCCGTGGCCCAGACCCTGAGGTGCATCAACGGGTTCAAGTATCAGAGGAAGTGCCACAAATTGACCCTGGGGTTGGCCACCGACCGGCTGCGGCGGCTGAAGACCCGAATCAGCAGCGGCGGCGCTACGGCGACTGCGGCGGAGGAATCGGAGATTCTTTACCAGGAACCGCCGGAGAGTTACTTGGGTAAGCTGAAGAGGAATTGGGCATTGCATTTTGGGTTCTTGATATTGATCTATGCTTTCATGGTCTCTTCCTCTGTTGTTCTTCTTTGCTTCTAGTTATTTTCTCTGTTTCTTTTTTTCTTAACCTCTTAACTTCTTGTTGGTTAGTTTTTTCTTCTCTGCAATTCTATGGTGCAATATCTTTTATGATGGTTTCTGAAAATTATTTAGGACCATGCTACACTTACCCCAAAAATTATACCCCATTTGTACACCACAGGTTTGCGCAAACATTTTGATGGTTTACACCGACAGAAGTGTTGGTGCGTTAATAAAAATTCACACGGACACAAATGTCGGTGCGTTTAACAAAAATTAGTTTTTTTGTGTTGGTGCAAAACTGTGGGGTACAAATTGGGGTACAAACTTTGGGGTACACATAGCATAATCCAATTATTTATGTGAATGAATGTGGTCACAACTCACATCCAAATTCTATAATCGACCTTTACACAATACTATATCCAAAAAATTGCTGCTGGGTACCCCTAATTTTGGGATAAAGACTAGCAAGTCCCATTGTTTTTCAAAATATACTCCGAGGTACCTTAAGATATTCAAAAACTGACTCCGTGGTGACAATCCGTCATTCTTTCCGTTAACATTTCTTCTCCGTTATCCTCCTCCTCCTCCTCTTCTCAAAAAATTGCTGTCAGGTACCCCTTATTTTCGAATAAAGACTGGCAGGTCCCATTTTTAAAAAAATTTACTCATGGGAATTTAAAATATGATGTTTGTGACTGAAGAGGCAACTTACGTATCATTTATAAAATTAAAATTATTTATTCACTTGGTTATAAATTATACGTCGTAATTCATAATAATATTAAATTTAATAATATTTTTATTGTTTCATATTATCTTTACAAGACATATTAAGTTTAACACTATTTTTATTGTTTCATCTTATTCTTTTCTCAAGTCTTTTTGTTTTCTCGATTTACCATGACACCATTACCAATGACGACTATCAATGACTAATGCGGAGTACTATTTTTCTAAATAATAATGATTGTTACTCCGTATTTCTTAAAAATAGAGTAATAAAATTACTACTCTGCAATTAACTTTTAATAATAATTAAGGAAATTGATGGGTGTATTTCACCCACGACCGGTCAAAGGAGAAGGCCAAATCTTTGACCGGTCAATCTCGAAAGTTTTGGAAGGGAGACTTAAATCGTCAGCAAAACGATATATCATCGGCCAAAATATGACTGGTATACTTCACAAAAAAGTATACCGGTCAAACTACGTTGTCATCCTATTTATTCCAGACTTCGATAAATTCATCCCTCGGAGATTACCCGGTGTAGTTTCTGGGGTTGGAAAGTGTCGGCAGAAGAGGATCTGCGAGGGTTTGGCGTGTAGCGACCCGTGTCAGTAGAGGACAACTGGAGATGCTGAAGAATCTATCCAAGGCGCAACTCGACAAAGGGAATGATCCCCCTCACAAGGCGACAAGGCAGCTCGAGGACGAAACCAGTCACCTCGCACCACATCAGCAGCATGCCCCCACGTGGGCGCACGTGGTCCTGTCCCCTTAGCCTAGTATAAATACTCATGTAAACCTCAGAAAGAGGGATCCGAATTCATTCTCTCTAAACTCCCTTGTAAAAGCACCTGTGCATTCTCCGTTATAATACAAATTGGGCTACAGGTGTTCCACCTAAAGTCCTACCGGTCAATCTGCGTGTTTTTACCTTTCTTACTTTGCCAAATCGAACAAACTATTTTAGACCCGGTCTAGTATAGTTTGACCGGTCAAGTAATTTACATCATCAGAAATAATAGGAAATACATAATATTATCAATTTTGACCAAAAAAACAAAAGTAGACAAATACTCTAGAACAGAGGAGTAATTAATATGAAGTAATAATAATAACTAGTGGTATTTTTAAAAAAAGTATAGAAGTAAAATTACTAATTAATTGCTTAAAATAAATAATAGTATTAATAATAAGTGCTATTTTTCTAAATAACAATTAGTGTTTTTATAGAAAAGAGTGGTAAAACTAACAATTAATTTTTAATAATAATAGTAATAATAATAAATCAAAAAATTAATAATAATAATAGAATAAGAAAATAATAATTATGAAGTAATTAATTATAATAATTATTAACAAATAATAATAATTATAATAGAAGAAGAAAAAAACAAAAGAAAAGGTAAAAGAAGAAAAAACTGGGGTGGGGGAGGAATGGAGGTCACTGTAACTCTGGAAGGCAGGAGAAAGAAGAAGAAAAGAAGAAAAGAAGAAGAAGAAAAGAAAGGGACCTGTCAGTCTTTATCCGAAAATAAGGGGTACCTGGCAGCAGTTTTTTGAGAAGAGGAGGAGGAGGAGGATAACGGAAAAAAAATGTTAACGGAGAGAATGACGGATTGTCACCCCGGAGTCAGTTTTCGAATATCTTAAGGTACCTCGGAGTATATTTTGAAAAACAATGGGACCTGCTAGTCTTTATCTCAAAATTAGGGGTACCCAGCAGCAATTTTTTGTACTATATCAATAGTGTCCCAAGTATTTGTCCACTCTCATTTTTACCCACCATCCAATACACTTCTTTAATCCATTTTATCTTGTAATTTCTATATTAAAAAAATATAGAAATTATATATTAATAAAGAGTAAATGTTAAGACAAATCAAACAAGATCACATATGACTATATTTAGGCTTACACATTGAGATAATTTGATGAGTCAAAGTGCTTAGATAAACAGTTCCAAAAGTCAAAACTGGACGAATACTCCGAGACGGAGGGAGTATTTTGTGGAATTTACATATATACCACTAAATCATAATGACTTTCTTTAAATAGCATCATATGTGTTTTTACCAATGTAGCTATTTTAGTTATTATCCATTAATCATTATTCAAGTAAATGTTCACCATTATTGGTCATTATTTGTCATTTTGGATATTATTAAATGCTATTTAGAAAATAAAACAATTTAAGTGCTATTTAGAAAAAATGGCTTAAATTGTAGTGTTATTTAGTGTAAATACTCTCTTCGTCCTAAAATTAACTTCTCATTTGACTTTTCACGGTCTCTAATACGACACTTTGACCATTAATGTCTTCATTTTTATATGAATATATATTATAAAAATAATATGTTTCAAAATTATGTTGTAAAATGAATCTTTTGAAAAAAATATGAAAAATCAATATATATTTTTCGTAATATACAATCAAAGTTTACAAAGTTTGACTGCAAAAGTCAAACAGAGAAGTTAATTTTAGGACAGTGGGAGTATTTCTTTTTAAAATTTAAAAACATTACGGACTAATCTCAAATTCTGAGTAACAAGTACTATAAAAATTCACAGTTAAAAGTCAAAATGTGAGGACCAAAGTTATTTTTCAATTTAGAACATGTTCCTTGGGATATGAAAAAAAGAGATTGATGTCGAAAGAAATCTTTTCCTATAATATTTGAGATTTATATGTCTAAAAGGTTGGCATGTGTAATCACATGGCAAATTTTAAATGACATGACATATGAATAAATTACATGATATACTTTAAATACCCATTCATCATTTATGAAAAATTATCTATCATAACCTTTAAAACTTGACAAGTTTAAAACAATATATTTTATATTAAAAAAATCATGGACTTTTGAACTTATTGAAAAATATTTAAATGAAATAAAATTTATAATTTTTCAACAAAATTTAAACAAAATATTCATATAAAAGAAACAAATCATGATTAGTCTGCGTCTTTTTTTCATAAAAACAACATTGGTTTTAAAAGACTTTTGAGTAAAATATAATTTTCTAAATATTATTAATCTAACCTGTTGTATGGAAAATTATTGATCTAAAATATAGCTCATCTTATGTCACATAATTAAATATGAAAAATTTATCATTGAAAATTAGTATTTTATGGTTCTTACTATTATATTCGATAATTCTTAATAAGAAAAATTTTATGTTTTAATGTATTCTATAACTTTTTTTAATAATTATAATTTCCTTAAATATATAACAAGGAATATTAAAAAGAATTATCAAGATTTAAATTTTTTTATAAGGTATTATATATATCCTCATCATGGTACCGATAGTTTTAAATAATTTATTTACGAAATAAGGAGTGTTTATAAAGGATAAGACATTTATTTTTTAATGAAAATATTTACATAAGGAAATATAAATTTAAAAACATTATTTTCATCATCTTTATTAGCAGAACCTTTTGGGCCTTTATTTTTTATTGGAACATTATTTTTCATAGATAAAAAATATTACAGTAAAAATTGAGAATTGAAAAAAAATATAATCTTGGTATTTATATAATTATAGTTTAAAGCTCCGAATGACAACATATATTTTTAAATAGAATATATTAAAATAGTTTTAGCGCTCCATGTGGTTTGAAAAATAAATATGAAAACCCCATTTGATTCTCCCCTCCCTTCCAAGCTGGCTCGCGCCATAGCAGTAGTTCTGTTTCTCTTAGACCGATTCTTGCACATAATGACAAATGAAATTTTTCCTAAATGGAAAGAGGGACCGATTTATGAAAGCAATCCTCCTGGATGGGTCGATTTATGAAAACGATCCTCCTGGATGGACCGATTTATGTGAGCGATCCTCCTGGATGGACCGCGAGTGTATCTTTTTTACTTTGGTGGACCGCTAACTGCTGTAAAGACAAGGAGAGGTTCGCCAAATGAATAGGGTATGAGATGGGCTCGCTATCAACTTTTCAGAAGGCTAAAAGGCTTCAATCGGCCCACGGGTGGCGCCAGTGATAGATGCCTAATATTTTACCTAGGACTGTTGGTCGGTCCAGGTCCAATAATTAGTATCTGGGCCTTATAATAGTAAGAAAGTAAAAGGAAAAGAGTAATGGATCGTGGGTAGATGCACAACACACAATGAATTAACTCAAACCGGGGTCTCCTTCTGTATTCGGTCCACTTGGGGATCAGAATATTCTATAGGACCACCAGAATATTCTTTTATTACTCAAGTCTCTCTTACTCTGTTACAAGTTTCCTCTACTGTCTAAATTCTTTCTCTTTTTATCAGAGTTTTCCCAGCGACCATCTTATCAATATATCCGCGGTGGTTGGGGAAATTATCCGGGCAATCCTCCTCTTTCCCAGAAATATATTCCTATGCTTAAAGCCATTCACTTGGGGACAAACCTGTCTGTCTCGCCATTATTCTCTGTCTGTCCTTTCAAAGGAATAAACATCCGTCCTTATCAAGGATGGCGCACTCTAATTTATTCGTAGGAGTCCTCTTCCTCTGGGTGACCCGGTCTTAATGGGTTGAGGTCCAGCCCATCTCTTGGCCCCCAAACTTCCTTCTTCCCTTGCTTCTTTAGTTGGACAGATCCTCTCACCAGCCCATTTCATTATTTTTGGGCTGAATCTTTCTTATAATGTACGGATCCTAATTTGGGTTTTGTACCTATCTCAAGCCCAAGTCACTTATAATGTCTCGATGGGCTTGATTCCCATCACTACGTATACGCTTAAATCTCTATAATTCTTTCTTTATCAATAATCAATTGGGATGGAAGGATTTATAAATTAAATATTCTAAAATTTTATATTGACTTTGTAATGGTAGTTGAAAATTGTTTCAGGGACAAAAACATATTTTCTTATATGTTCTGAAATAACTTTAATTTTTCATTATTTTATTCGCATTGATGATGATGATACTAATAATAAAATTAATTATATTAATAATATGAAAAGTACTCCAAAGTAATTGTATTTTAGGTCATCGTTGAAAGATTTTAGAAGAATTTAAAAGAAATAGGAAAAAGTTTGAGAAACTAAAATGAATTGGAAAACAAGCGAAGCAACACTCGCTTCGTACGGCGGACGCTAATACTCGTTTTTTCACCAATATGCTTCACACCGAAAGAAGAAAAATAGGATTATGAGGCTTAAAGATGAGCATGGGCAGTGGAAAGAAGGTGATGAGCTTCTGCCAGTGGTTTCTCACTATTTTAAAAACATCTTCCAAACTGAAGGTGTTGGTCCCTCTACTGCTTTTGATGGCTTTCAGACGAGGGTTTCCCGAACCCAAAATGACTCCCTTGTCCAACCTTTCACTTGTGAGGAAGTGCGTGCAGCTCTCTTCGCCATGCATCCAGATAAATCTCCCGGTCTAGATGGTATGAACCCAGCTTTCTTCCAGAAATCATGGAACCTTGTAGGCTCGGATGTTTGTAAGTTTGTCTTATCTTGCCTCAGTGGTAAAGTCCTCCCAGATAATATTAATGATGCCAATATTGTTCTTATTCCCAAGAAGCAGATTCCGGAATCTGTGTTTGACTTGCGCCCCATTGCCCTATGTAATGTCATTTATAAGATTGTGGCAAAAGTTTTGGCTAATAGGCTGAAAATAGTACTTAAAGAAATCATCTCTGATTCCCAATCCGCCTTTCTTCCTGGGAGACTCATTTCAGACAATATTCTCTTGGCAGCTGAATTAGGCCACTTTCTTCGGCGAAAACAAAGAGGAGCTACAAGATGGGTTGGTCTCAAACTTGATATGGCCAAGGCATATGACCGAATGGAGTGGAGCTTCTTAAAACTCATGATGGTCAAACTCGGGTTTGATAATCAATGGGTTGAACTCATCATGATGTGTGTCACCACCGTTAGATACAGAGTGCAGGTCAATGGTGATTTTACAGAATTCATAATTCCCTCGAGGGGCCTTGGACAGGGGGATCCATTAAGTCCCTACCTCTTTATTTTATGTGCTGAAGGGCTGTCCTTTCTCTTACAGAAGGCGGAACAGAGGGGATTAGTGCATGGCATTCGAGTGTCAAATGGTGCTCCTCCCATTAATCACCTTCTCTTTGCCGATGATAGTCTCATTCTCTTCAAAGCCACAATGGAGGAAGCAGGAGAGGTGCTTTGAAGAGCAAGAATACTCATCTTCAGGTCCGCATCTGGCTCACAAGCTTTTTTGGGGTGGTTGAAGCGGAGGATTTTGGGAAGTATCTAGGGCTGCCTTCCTTCATTGGGCATAACAAAACAGCTGTTTTTTCATATATTTTGGATAAGATCCGTCAAAGACTTTCACTATGGAAGAGGAAGACACTTTCTAAGGCGGGGAAGGAGGTTTTACTCAAGACGGTAGCTCAGGCGATGCCTCAATTTGCTATGAGTGTATTCCTTCTCCCCCAATCTACTTGTTCAGATATTGAGAGGTTGATGAACGGATTTTGGTGGGATGGTAAGGGCATTAATAATCATGGGATTCGATGGATGTCTTGGGAACGGATGACTTACCCAAAGAAGTTTGGGGGTTTGGGCTTTCGGAATTTCCGGATGTTCAATGTCGCTATGTTGGGTAAACAAGGCTGGCGCTTCCTGACCAACCCCGGCTCTCTTGTTGCGAGAGTTTTCAAGGCTAGGTACTTTCCTAATAACTCTTTTTTGGAGGCTGAGTTGGGGAGACGACCCAGTTACTGTTGGAAAAGTATTCTTTCGGCCAGGATGTTCTTCGAAACGGTATCCGACGTCGTATCGACGATGGACGGGAAACACATCTTTGGGGTACTCCCTGGCTCCTTGAAGAAGTTAATCCTTACCCAAACATGGCCAAACGCGTGGATAATGAAGACCCCTTGGTGGCTGATTTTATTGACTTTGATTTGCACTCTTGGAATGTAGCGAAGCTGGAACAATACTTTGAGGCCGATGAAGTGCTGCAAATTCATAGGGTCCCTGTCAATACTAGAAGCTGTGATGGATGGTTCTGGCTTGGGGACTTCCGCGGGGCTTATACGGTGAAAAGTGCTTACAGACGCTTGATGGGGGAGGCTTCTCTCGTGTCCTCCTTTTCAAGCTGGGGAAGATTTTGGAGGATTCCGGTGGCCCCAAAAGTTCTTGTTTGCTTGTGGAGGGCCATTCGAGGTATCTTGCCCACGCAGGATGCTCTCATTTCTAAGAGAGTGGAGGTGGATGGGGGCTGCCCTCTACGTGGAGGAGCTCTTGAAACAATTGATCATATTTTCTTGTTCTGTCCTTTTGCAGATTCAGTTTGGAGGCTCATCGGCAAAGGAGGGAATAGAGTCCCATTTATCTCTTTCCCGAATTGGTTCCAGGATCGGTGCCAGAATGACACTTTGATGGAGCTGTGTACCATTGATTGGACCTGTTGGGCAATTTGGAAAGCGCGAAACATAGCCACTTGGGATCATAAAACATTGCTCCCAGGAGAGCTTAAGAAATTGGTGCTGTCCATGGAAGCTCAATGGTCGAACAAGGCTGATGCGGAGCGGGAACATACTTCACAGCGACACGATGCTAGTTTCCGGGCAGAGGCACACAGGTGTTTTTTGATGCTGCAACATCAGATTTGGAGGATTCCATCTCTTTCAGTTGTGTCCTTTTTTATCCAGGGGGCGTATATATATGTGGCAGCGACAAACGGAAGAAAACTTGGGCCTCTAGATCCTGTTTTGGCGGAAGCTCTTGCTTGCAAAGAAACGTTGGCTTGGTTGAGGACTCGAGGTATTCGTGACGTTGAGATTTTTTCTGATTGTGAGGTTTTGGTGGGGGCTATCAAGAAAGGAAAGGCCTTTGAGTGTTATTCTTATCTAGGCTCCATCTTTGACGAATGTGCTTATTTATTATCATCGTTTACATCAATTAATTTTCATTTTATTCGTAGGAATCGTAATTGTATTGCCCATACCCTTGCAAGGTGTGCTACGTCCCATATGGTCTCATGGAGCCGTACACCACCAAGTTGTATTGCACATTTGATTTCTTATGAATGAAGTTTTTCTTGCCATAAAAAAAATGAATTGGAAAATATTGAAGTTTAAGAGTTAGAATCCAATAAAAGTATAGAATCATAATCTAATTATAAATGAAAAATAAAATGACGAGTAATTATTAAATAAGAATATTATAATTATTAAAGTAATCAAACCGAAAAAGTAAGATAACAAAAGTGTAGAATGAGATGGGGAAATTTTGCAATTTTAGAAAAATAAAGAAAATTTATTAACTAATCATATGTAGGAGTATATGTATGTAGCATAGAAGTACAAATGTCAATTAGTGAATGGAAGGGATGATGCCCTATCAATTTCGAAGGCACCAAAGAAAAACCTTATATAAATAGAGCAACTCAATTCAAATAAGGAGCACACATTAAAGTATTTATGAAGAAGATCTCAAAGCCGGAATTAATTAAGATTTATCCCTCCCACGGGCAAAGCTTTTTTCATTATTTTCATGAGCTTAAAAGAAATATTAAAAAAATACTGCGTATTGATTAAAATTTGTTCTTTTAAAAGTATTGTGAAGTGTTTATAAATTCCTTTCAGTAAAAAAAGAGTGATAACTTTTATTTTGGTTAGAACAAAAAAGGTAAATAACGAAGTAAGAGAATATAATATGATTGAGACAAATAATTCTTACGTAATTCTAAAATTCATGCTTATTTTATTCACCTTGGTGCATTGATATTATAAAAGAATTGAAGATTCTGTATAAAAAAAATTCCACTTGCAAGGATATAGAAAATATGAGAAGATCCATTTTTTACATATGGACATTAAAACTACGGAAGAATAACTTTATTTTTTAAGCCATAATTTAAGAAGTTTTATATATTCCCCATTCAAAATTTATTACCATACATATATAGTTTTACTAAAGATCTTAATTAATTAATGCAAGCCCAGCGGGATCATTATAAATAAAGAATGGAGCTGAGACACAAAATCACAGGGTTTATTGAATTGTAGCATAGCATCCTTTACAGAACTACTAGTTGATTATTAGTATTGAAGTAGGAGAAGAAGAAATGTCGTGGTTGTCGAGTCAGCAATATACTCCACCGATGATTCCGGAACTTATGGTTCCTCCCGGCGGCGGCGGCGGTGTCGTTGGCGGCGGCGGCGGTCATTCCTCTAACGGGTATCGAGGTTATGTGATCGTCGGTGTGGTCATTGTCACGGCACTTATTACAACCGTTCTTATAGCTTTGTGTCTCAGAAAATTTAAATCGAATAAGCGTGGAGAGACAGCCCCGCCGTCGTTGGCATAATAGCAATTCAATGTTTGATTTTTGTTACTCCTATAAATTAAAAGTCAATAGTATTTTAAACGCATGTGTGACATAAAATTGTTTTTATTTCTTTAAAAAAAGAGTAATTTACCTAAATAGGACTAAAACATAATGACTTTCTCCAAATAAGACCATATGTTTTTATTTCTCAATGTAGGACCTTTGGTCATTATTAATTAGCCATTATTCAAGTAAATGTCCATCACTGCTGGTCATTATTCCGTCCACGAAGACATTATTAAGTCCTATTTAGGGAATAAAAAAATTTAAGTCCTAGATTAGGAAAGTCATTATGTTTAAGTCTTATTTAGTGCAAATTCCACTTTAAAAAATTGCTTTTATTCTATGAAAAATAATATTCTTCTTCAACGTATTAATATGATTTTAGTGTCCAGCCTCATTGATTAAAAAATAATAATGCTCTCATTTATTATTAAAACTATAAAATATACAGAGTAATACTGCCTCCGTCCCAAAAAGATTTACACCTTTCAAAAAAATTACGTCCCACAATCTCCAATCCATTTCAATTAAAAAACCACTTTTACCCCTCACTTTTTCAAACCCTACCTATCACATCGTACTTTTTTCCTAATAATCTACACATTACATCCCACTTTTACTCATTACATCAAGGGTATTTTTGGAAAGTCAACACAAAATTATTCCTCCCTTAATTTCAACTTTAGTCAAAACGTGTAAATCTTTTTGAAACGGAGGCTGTATAATTTTGATACTATAGTCTTCCTATATTTATTTACTACAATATTATTAAATGATAAAATTAAATATAATTCCAATACTATTATATTCTCTCCATCTACAAAAAAATTTAATATTTACATTTTTACTCGTCTTATGCGTGTCTCATAGATTCACTATAAAATCTCATTTATTTTGTTCAAATTTATATCTCTTCGTCCCGAGATATGTTTCATAATCATCTCATGCATACATCATAATATTTTCGAGGATGCAAAACTTTCACTCCTTTGAAACTCTGTTTTAAAAAATATATGTTGAGTTATCTTGTTTTTCAAATTCTATACGGATACCAAACTTATTATGATGGTCTAAACATTCTTATACAAATTGGACATTTTGGTGTTCTTAATATATAATATTGTAAAATATGAGGTTTGTTGTGTGAGATATGTATATAATACTCCCTCCGTTCTATAAAAGTATTCCTGTTTTGACTTTGTGTAAAAATAAGGAAGTGTTAAATTGTAATTGACTTCCAATTTTGTCTTTGATATGATGGGTAATAGTAAGATGTGATGGATTGAGTATTAGATAAAAAAGTATGATGTGATAGGTATGGTATGAAAAAGTAAGGGTAAAAGTGGTTTTTTAATAGAAAGTGGAAGTGTTTTGTTGGAAGTAAAAAAAATGAAAGAGGAAGGATTTTTGAGAACGGAGGGAGTATATATGTGTTTTGAATAAATTTGAGTACAATAAAGTTATTGAAATACTTCAAAATGAGTTGTAGCCCGTTTGGGAATAGCGTTAGCATTCTGGATAAGTTTTTAATACTGCAGATTAACTTTAAAAATGCTAACGCTAAACATTTTCTGTAGATAGTCGATCTTTTCAAAATACTAACGGTAACCTCTAATGCTATTCCAAAATATGCCCTTATTCTATTTGATATCAAATGGCAACAAGATCTCATGTAATACTGATTTTACTATTAAGAGTAAACTTTGAATCTACTCGACCATTGATGTAAGATGTTTTAGCTCTTTTTCATAAAGATGTTTTGGCCAGATTTTGTATTCCAAGTATGACTCTAGACATGGGTAACGTATGGACTGATTGATTAAGCTGATTTCTTGAGTTCTGGATGCTTGATTGGAAGGTTGAGTGGAACCTTGGACAGTTCTTGGGCTGACCTACTGCATTTTGAAGGTTCTTTCTTTGGTTGGTTTGGCAATCAATTCTAACCAACCATGGTTTTGCCTCTAGTGGAGGAAATACAATTTCATTTGAAGCTGGGATTTATGTTTACTATTGCCTTTTGCTGCTGCTGGCAGGCTGCCCGGTGCTCTTCTTGACCCTTTCGGTTGGGGTTGGTGGAAGAAACGGGGCTATCTTGGCTATGAAGTTGATCTTCTGGCTAATTGGGCTACTTTCTTGGGTTTGGGAGGTTGTTTTCGCAGGTTTTCCTGCCTATCTACGTGTTGTTTCTGAATTCAACCGAGGGCAATACTAGATGAAGGCTTATGGGACAACTAGTGAACTTGTGCCTCGTTTGTTTGGGGATGCTTGCCAAATACCCAGGGGGCACTCTTGCCATAGACCTAGGGGAGGGGTTTGTATGGCAGAGTGGGGTCACTTTGGAGTTAAGTTGTCCTCCTTGACGATGGTGGACAACTTCTTGTACTTGAGGCTTGGCCCTTGGCTTGCTTACGGTGACTATGGCAAGAATAACTTAACTCTTGCTTTTGTTGGATGCAACCGTTAATGAAGAACATTTTGACCTGAATTTTGACGTACTCTTGCTGATCACTTTGAGGAATTGTTTGCGATACCTGATCCTTCAGGAGGGAGTATTTATGGTTGGACTTTGTTGGTACTCCCATTAGATACTCCCTCCTTCTTGTTTTGCTACTATACTATTGCCGTGATGGTGCATGGTACTGGAAGCTGGAGGTTGAGCCCACAAGAGCCTGGACGACCCGGACCACATTGATGACTTTGTTATGGATGTCTATTTTGTATGGCCTGCGTGCCAAGTTTGTATTGTTGATTGTATTGTTGATTGTTTGTTACCCGTTTAGGCTTGTGTTGTAATTGTCTTATACATGCATGGAACCATTTTTATGGTTCAGCATTTGACATTGATGTACCGTTCTGATTAGGGTAATAATAATTTACATTTTACCCTAGAGTAGTTGAAGATAAAACTACCAAGAAAATTCTAGATGGGAATCTCGCTCATGTTCAAACCTCATATTACAGTGTAATTGATTCAGCAGTAGTGAAAATGTTAAACATACTAAAGAGAAAGTCTGAGATCTCGCTCATGTTCAAACCTCAATTAACCTTTTTATTTTCATAAAACAAATTGAGAATTGTAAATGTGTTGAGTCTAATATTTTTAGTGCTTTCTTCATACAATCATAAAGTACCATAGAATATGGACGTGCTACCAAATAAAAGAAGTAAAGGTGAAACTTCTTCCAAGTAGCACCAAAACTTTATCATTTGGTCCAAATGGCACCCAACAAGTTTTTTCCCAAAACTAACAATAAATAAATAAATAAATTATAAATAATGTCCATTTTCTAAAAGAACCTTGTATCTTAATCACTTTGTGCTCCATATAAAACTCTCTTTGATCGATTTTCTCTTTCTTTGATTCATCTGCTTATCTTTTTCTTTTGATGGACTTTGTAAAATTTTTGGACATTGTCCACCGATCTAGGACATTGTAAAAATTGTAGACGTACTGTTCCCGAACATTGGTGGCTAATGCAGTGGACATTTATAATTATGATAAAGTTTTTTTTAATCGAGAATGTCTTGGCAATGGACATGTAGACATTAACAACGATTAGGGGTGAGCAAGGACCGAACCGATCTCAATATTTTCCAAAAAACCCGAGAATACCGAACTATTTAATACCGAACCAATAAAGTACCGCAAAGTAACTGAACTGTACCGAACCGAACGATCGGTTTGGTATTTGGGAACGGTACGAGGTTTCTTCCAATACCAAAATTCCCGAACCGAATATATATACTAATATTTTATAAAAATGATAATCTTTTTATATTTCTCCATTAAACAAAAAAATTATATAGACAATTTTTTTTAATTTCATTATGTTTAAGTTGCACTTTAATAAGACTTTTTTTTTGTAGATGAATATAAGAATATTAACAAACATTTGAAATAATAATTTGTTATCACTCATTCCCTTTAGTTTGTGAAATATAAACTAACTTTCATAAGCATTTCTTGCATTTTATTTTTCATTTTTAAATTTTTTATCTTTCTTTGGTTAAATGTACTTTCGTTTTTTTCAAAAATAAAAAGTTTTGTTACATTTGATGGTGTAAACTAGGTACATATATATTCATCCCGATTTGTACCGAAACTGATACCGAACTATCGGAAACCATACTGAACCGATGCTTCAGGATCGGAATCGGTACAATGTAAAATCTCATACCGGACCGAAATATTTGGTAAGGTATCAGTACAGGCTAAATACCGTACCATGCTCACCCCTAACAACAATATTGGACATTATTAGAGTGAAACTATAGAAGTCATAATTGACATTAATTAACAGAGTGATGGGGGGACATTCATGTCAACATTTTGTGATCGTCGGTCGGCGAAGTGTTGTAATACGTGATGGGACAATATATATAAGAAATATTTGTACTAAATAGCACTAAAACTTAAGTCATTTCCCTAAATAGCACTTAAACTATTATATTCTCTAAATAGCACTTATAATGTCCATAATGTCCAGTGATGGCGAAATTTTGCTTGAATAATGACTAATGCATAATGACTAAAAGTGTTATATTGGAAAGAAAAACATATGTAGTGCTATTTAGGGAAAGTCATTATATTTTAATGTTATTTAGGTAAATTCCTCTATATATAAAATCATATAAAGGACATTTTAATACACTACAAGTAATAACTAATTATTAATTAATTAGATACGAGTTATGGAAATTAAAGCTTGTGGTGCTATATAAGGCAAATTATTATGTTTTAGTGCGATTTAAGTAAATTTCTTTTAAATTAAACTGAGATTAAAATCGATCATTTTTTACTATTAGTTTTATGCTCGTGTCAATAATCATTGAAGGGGATTCTTCAAAATATAAAAGCATGTTTCTGTTGTGAACTAAGTACTTTATTCATCATATGTCGGGGTATTTATACATACACAGGGAGGAGGTAAAGTCTAGGTAAACAAGGTAACCAGATATTCTAAATAATAAAAGTAATATATCTGCCATATTTAACACTCCCCCTCAGATATATCATAATTCATTATACACAAACAACATTATGTTACGAGATAATGTTGGCTAGGTTCTTCAGGACCTATATTAACTGATACTGCAGGATCAGTTATTCTGCCTCATTAAAAACCTTACTAAGAAAACCCAGTGGGACAAAACTTAGTTAAGGTAAAAAGAGTACATCGTGTATAATGTTTTCCCTCAAAATAAAAATATACTCCCCCTCAAACTAATTTATCTCTTTTAGTCTGCGAAGTCCAATCTTTTTTATGAGTTGCTCAAAACTATGTGTCTGTGTCTAGGCAGAGATTTGGTGAATAAGTTTGTCAAATTTTACTTGATTTAACTTGAAGAACATCGATCTCTCCTTCTTTCTACAGATCAGATGTTAAGAAAAACTTTACTGAGATTTGCTTCGTTATGTCTCCCTTGATGTAGCCTTCCTTGATTTGAGCTATGTATGTTGCGTTATCTTTGCATATAATCGTAACATTCTTCTTGATTTCTTTCAAACTGCATGCTCCTTGTATGAGATTAATCACCAATCTCTACCATGCTCGCTCTCGATCACTGTCGTATAATGCTATCAGTTCGGCTTGATTCCATGTTGTTGTTCGTGCTCGCTCAGTCAACTTCCAAGAAAATATCATATCACCATATGTGAACACATACGTGTCTAATTTCACACATAAAATTTTGGTACTGCAGGACCAAGTACTTCTACACCCTTTTCTGGGAGGCGATTAGAATGTTGTGTATATATATGAATGAACAACCATGGATATGTTCAAAAGATGAGCTTTATCCATATTTCAACGTGTTAACATCTTCTGGATGTAGTTTAACTTATGGACAAATGTGCCATCATATAGGTGTTTAAAATACAATCCTAAGTATAATTTATGTCATGAGTTCAACAGTTTTTTTTTCTCTATCTCTTCATGAAAAACCCTTGATTTACAAGTAGTACTTCATATTCCACAATCTCATTCATTTTATTTCTGTTGATTACAGACACCCATTTTAAACCTATTGGTTTGACGTCTATGGGTGTTCAGACTTCAAGTCCGAAAATATTTCGTTTATCGAGTGACTTATGTTCGACCTTCAGGGTCTTTTGCCATTTTGGCAAATCATTTATGTACTATCTACATGTACTCTTCTTTGAGTTTAGGCATGTAATCTCTTTTATTGATTACATCCATTACCATAGCATTTGCTAGAATATCATTAACACGTGTTTCATTTTGGTTCCATATTGTACAGTCTCGTACATAATTAATATGGATCTCATTTTCTTTCGGTACCGATGTTTCTTTAGGAAACTTATTCTTCTGGATTCATATATATTAGTCGATCTCTTCCAGGACATTTACCTCTTTTGGGGTTTCATTTTCTTCTGGAATAGTATTAATCTTCTTCTGGGACAGTTACCTCTTCTGGGGTTTCCCTTATAATCATGAATGTGTTTTCACTAATAGCATTTTTGCTATATTCATTTTCGTGGGTTCTTATCTTTGAAGCTGATTATTCTCCCACAATTTCTTTGTATAATAGTCACTTCTAGGACTTTCATAAATTGAGCGGTGTATAAGATGTTGGTATATGTAACCTTGTCACTCTACTCGTATGTGTGAATGCATCTCATAATTTATTTGCTCTACATTGCAAATCGGACTTCAAAATCGCACTGACCACTTCAGGAGTCAAAAATTTACGATGATGATGCATTCCATGTAATTTCTTATATTACCAGTCTTTCTTTATTCACCTCTCCCCCTAAGACTGGGAATACTTTAACATAAAATTGACAATCAACATACTGTGATGTGTGTGTGTGTGTGTGTGTGTGTGTGTGTGTATCTTGTCAAAAAAACTCTTAACATTTAACGATTGACGAGGAATTAAAACTAATGTCAATTACCCAATCTTCTCTATTATCTTGGATGCATTGTGGGGGAGGGAGCACATAGGACACACAATCAAATATTGTCAAAAGGGACAAATTTGGTTCTCTTCGGGAGATATAAAGAGTAAGAAACTCAAAATTTTGAAGATTTGACATTTTATTTATAGGGAAGGATTAATAAAAATGAACATGTGTATATAAAATACATGTGAAGGAGAACTTCAGGTTCTCATTTGTTGGAACTACAGATTCTTTATAATAAGACCATTTTTTAAAGGTTGAGAAAATATCTAGAATTCACTCCAAACCAAAGTGTTTACAATTGACACATAAAATTCATAATGAGCACTTTATTTGCAATATCTTAGTACAATCTTCTTTCTTGAACTTCAGGTTCACATCTTCTTTAATTGAAGAATATATATAATCTAGCATATGTCATGGAATTTATCTTCCATTCAACTCCTTCAAAAACCTTCCCTCAATGTCTACCTACCATTGTGGTATTTTGATAATTTCTTTTAATTTATACTCACTAAGCATCTGCTCCAAATAATTAACACATAAATGAAGATTCAAAAACCAGTATAAAATGCTTTGTTCTCATAATCAAAAGTATAGCCACCAATCCAATGCATTTTGCATATTAACTAGAGCTACAGGCTCTTATGTGACTAATGGTGTTCAACATGACCTATAAATTATGTCCATAGGACAAATATCATAAATTTTGGGTTACGAGTTAATTGTCAACAAATATGACAAATATAACGATGTATCATAGTAATAATCTCATAATAATCTTCTAATGAGAACAAGACTATAGGATCTTCTGGTCCTTATAATAACAGAAATTTGTTCTTCAAATAGTACTCACTTGAGTTCTTAATGATTTTTTCTTCACAGCACAAACTAAAACGTGATAATTTAATTGGTTATGTTTAGGATAAAAACTAATTCAGTAAACTTCTGGTTTACGTGAAAACAAATCTCGATAAAGTGTCATGTAATATTCATTTCCACTGGTATCTTAAACATTAATAGAGATACCTTAAACAATAAGGATTTAATTGTTTATACCCAATAGAATATTCGTCAATGAAGGACAATAACTATTTTCTCAAAATATTCAATATTTATGAGACCTTTATTAGTTCTATTATGCAGCTCTTATTATGCAATGCTCTTCTGGAGCTATCTATCAGTTTTGTATTAAAAAAAAATATATCCACACTAACTTCTTTTATCACAAGAGAAAAGAAGCTATTACATCTAAAAAAAATATAATATGCATAATCACTCCTTTGATATAATATATTAACTACATCATTCTTAAGGAACATCGATGAGGAATCATATATACATTAGAACAAAGGTCTTGAAATATCAAAACGTCTCTTTTTAATGAGATTTTTTTTTATGTACTAAAATCAGCCACTTCAGGTGGTAATTGAATATTATAAGACCTTAGGTAGTATCTCATATACCCATATATTGTGTTTGATGAACATGTTGACTCTTATTTAATTTAGGAGATTATACATCTTAAGAATTTCTTTTCAGAATTCAATATTCTTCAGGAATATTTATATTCAAATAGTCAATGTTTAAAAAAAATGTAATTCTATGTGGCTATAATAGTGACTTTGATGTGTCCATATGTATAACCTCAATAGTTGTGATAGCCTATTATATTCATGCATGTCAATCAATTTTTTTCACTCGCTTCAGGAAATGAATATGTAACATGATTTTTTTTTACAAAAACATCTTTCCTAACAATGGGGAAAAAATGTAGCCAAATATGGAGTATATGAAAAAAAATTCTTACACTACCACTTTAGAGGAAATTAGATTCTCAAATACTATTTTGTAATCTCAAACCACATATAACATGGAATATTGGTCACACAAATTTTATTGCAACTTAGTAATTCACATTGAAATATAATATCATTGCATAAGGAGAAAATCCATTGAACAATTTAAAAACAATCTTTAGGTCATTTTACTTCTGGAAAATGGTAAATGCATGAGTAAAAATAATCTATTTTGTTATTCTCTTTGAGAGATTATGGACTTTAGAATAAATATCAAATTTGAAACACTTTGAGGACAAAATTTGACACTTCGATTGAAGTTCTCTTTTATATGTCATGAATCTCCAACATACGTAGTCAATAAAAGATTTATCACATTTGGGATGAGATCAAAATAATAAAATATGCAGGTTGGAATCAAAATAGTCAATTTCATGATATTTAAATTAGATGCGGAATACTAGCAATAGAATAGCATATTAGTGAGCACTTTTTCTGTGGCCATGTACACCTGATTTAGTTTTGATGATCAAAAAGCAAATTATAGATGCAAATTCAATGTCTTGTGAGATTTAAAAGTAGCAATATATGTGAGCAATGCATATTAGGGAAAAAAAATCGTTTCAGTGTGCTTCCTTGGTCCAAGTAGCAATATATGTGAGCAATACATAATTGACTAACTTCACATCTTAAACAAAAATGGTGCTTATGTGTTAGATAAAGAGATACTCCGTATTACAAAATTTTCTTCCATTACTTTTTTTTGTGTGTTTTTTTTTGTTCATATATTTGATCTCCTTGAAAAATGTATGCAGAGAACAAAAAAACATATTCTGAAGGACTAGCCTTATGAAAAAAATAGATTAGATAAACCACATAGAGCAGGTTTGTCATTCAATGGTCCAGGCATGAATTTTGATATGCAATTTTAATATGCAATTCAATCTCAACTTGCTATGTTAAGAGAAAAATAGAAATACCTGGACTGTTAAAGGATTAATTTTCGCTGCCTCTCTGTTCACTACTTATTTCCCATCCTAGGAACCCTGCCGCGCTAGAAGGCAGAATCATCACAACCCAAAAGTTGCTTCATGTCATCGCCTCAGTCAAGTCGCACAAAATAATCGCCCATTTTCGTTGAACTGAATTTGGACCCAACGGAGACTTTTGGCGAACCGGAGAAGGACAGGGACTTGTGTCTGTGAGTGAAAAGCCCGTCGGCCTTTTATTCGCCGCCATCAGCATATGTATGCCTCGATTCGTTCGATTTGTTCCTTTGTTTCCGATGTGAATTACTAGAATCTGGTGGCGGCGTCGTGGGCTGAGGTCTGGCGCAGTGGCGCTAGCGGCGGAAGAAAAAAATGGAGGAAGGAAGAGGCCTAAAAAAATTAGGGTTTTTGGAGTTCTTTCGTCCTTGAACTAAATACTTTATTCATCATATGTCGGGGTATTTATACGGAGGAGGTAAAGTCTAGGTAAACAATGTAACCAGATATTCTAAATAATAAGAGTAATATATCTGCCGTATTTAACAGTTTCAAAGTAAAAGAAGTAATTTTTTTTTGAAGTTTCATTATTAAAAGTTTAATTCTCCATTAGTTGCGAAATATTTTTTTAAAGTATGATGTCTTCTTCAATCCATGAATAAACTTCAAGTGTCAATGAGTGATAAGCTTTTTTTCCTATTTTGTAGACTGTAATTTAAAATATCTTATGTCTATTTGTACAAAGTATAATATTAGAAAATTCTAATGTAAAAATGATAAAGTTTAATTTGAACTACAAAGAAATTAATGTTTAAGATAATTAATTTTAAACGTGTTCCTAACTTACCAAAACAGGAATAAAACATGGAGAAAATACCAAAATAGGACTTCTATATTTTTTACCCTCAAAACAGGAATCACTCTTATTTTGGAGATAAGAGTTATTTTACTGCTATTTGATGTGATATCTTTCCCTTGTATGAGAATCTTTTGAAAATAAATATATCATATATCTAAAATTTTCATAATAGAATTGATTCATTCTTCCATAGCACGACATCATATTTATTTTTTTCCAGTAATATTAATATCTCATATAATACCATATGAATCTTTCATTAATTCTATTATGTAATATAATTTATTTGATCATATCATCAAAGATAAATAATCATTTTCTTCCATTTATAAAAAAAATAAATAATCAATGGATTGTTTATAAATTTTGTTTGTTGACATACACAAATAATTGACCAAACATTACTGCCCAAGTCCACATGTCAAAATTTATTCACTTTGCATACTTTTTTTTGCTTGTTCAATAAAATAATATAATCATGTCACCTTTAGTTTTGTTGATCAAATTTTAAATATATATACTTTTTATTTTTTAATATCAAATTAATTATCATAGTCTACTTGTCCCTAAAATATTACCACAATTTGACTTTTTTGGTCAAATTGTTACATCCTTTGATTGTGAATTATAGAAAATATATATCTAGTTGTATTTAAATTTAGTAAAATTGGGATTTTTAAATATAGTTTTCAAATAAATTTTTTTGTAATATTTAATTATTTTAAAGGAAAAGGAGCAATGCCACGTAAATATTCCATTCTCTTAAAAAAATTAATTCTTTTAATTTTTCATACAGGTGCCACTTAAACAATGTTACGTGTCATGTTCTTAGAGCTTACCATGCGTCAAAAATAAAAAATTAAGTTTTCTCAAATTTTTTTATATTGGTTATGCTAATATCTAGTTAATCTAAACATATTTTGTTTGTTTGAGATTAATTTTAAAAATAAATGTATCATTGTTAAAATTTTACTTAGTAGTACTTTTTTAAATCTGCACTAAGTTTAAATTTTCTAATCGCAAAGACGTTGTAAATTAACTAATCATCTATTTTTGCTTAACAATTTCTTCTTTTATGAATATCTTTTTCAAACTCAATAGTAATTTTTACTTAAAAATAATATGATGAAATGTATAAAAGAATTTGACTCACAACAAACTCTTGCTTTGTTGTGGAAATCATTTTACTATTTCGAATGAGCACTTTTTATTTTCCATTAGATCGTCTGGATGCCTCTTGAAAATAGCCAAAAGATCAATCAATTTAGACAATAAGTCTGAGATGGATGGCATATAATTATGATGTAACACCTCGGCCCAAGACTATGGATGGCATATAATTATGATGTATGCTCGTAACATTGTAGATTGGCCCCACAAATCAACATAAGTTTTTCCCATGCACTTTATCCTCACTCGTGAGTGCTCAAGTATTTTTTTAGGGGATCACATATACTAGAATTCTCTAAGTCAAGCACACTTAATTTTAGAATTTCTAAATGATGAGATCTTGAAAAAGATGTAGATTTATATTGAAGGTATGAACAGTATTATCTATCCTTTTAAGCATTTTCTTTCCCAAATCCATTTCTTTTTAAACCAGGATATTACATTCACCCCTACTTACTAACCAATATAAGTCTTTCCCGCGTACTTTGTCCTCAATCGTGCGCGCCCAAGGAACTTCTCAGGGGGTCACGCATTCTAGAATTGCTCCAAGTCAAGGACGCTTAACTTTGGAGTTTCTATGTGATGAACTCTCAAAAAGAAGATGCACCTTGTTGGTAGGAGTAGTACTATCTGTAATACCGTAATCCGTCCAGGACTCCAACCCCTTTCAGACTGAAGTATTAATTTGGTGCATCACAATTTAAAGCATTTAAAACCTTATTTAAAACAACTCTGTAAAATATTTTGGAATAACATCAGAGTAAAATTAGTTCAAACCGTACGAAAGCAATTACAACAGTATGGTTAACCCATAATTCAACATGTGACATTTTCTCAAATAGTAAGTTTATATATATATATATATATATATATATATATATATATATATATATAAATATAAATATAAAGAGAGTTACATAGTTGTGGTGATGACATGTGCATACTACTGACATGTGTCATGCCACATGTAAATCACAAGACACATGTCACTCCACACATGCATATTTAATTTTGTATTAGATCATTATTTTTATTATATTTTATAAACTCTTCACTTTCCAACAATAAAAAAGCCTTATTTTTTTTTCTTTTTTATAAAATTTTCACTCTCAAACTATTTTAGAAATATTTTTTTGTTTTAACATATTTTTAAATACGTGCGACTATTTTATAATATAAAAAAAATTTAAAATTTATTAATTAAAAAAACAATGTGGCTTATAATTACTAAAATTATCCATCATCTCAAAAGAAATTATTATATCTAAATTTTATCACACATCCATCTTTATTAACTTCATAACATATCTTTTTGAAGACCAATACGTTTTTAAGTCATTCCAAGCGACCTCTTCACACCAATTTAGCTTTTTGTTTGCAGCTCTTGCATGACGAAGCAAACTAGAAAGACGCTTTGATCCGTTGTGTTTCCAAATTTTTTTCATGGTGTTAGTAGGAATGGGATTCCAACTTTGATCCTTCTCCCAAAGAATTGTTGGTAGCCACCTAATCATTACCAAAATAGGGAATAAAGTGTAAACAATTTTATGGGATGTCCAAAAAAGGAAAATATTAAAAATTGTACAAGGAGGGAGTATAAACAAGGAACGAATATAGATATTTGAGCTCTAGTAGCCCGAAATCTTTCTCGTGAGAATGTTTTTAAGAGGGGAGGGGTTGTATTTATAGGTAGAATCAGAGCCTCGAAAGTCAGATCGGATTATCCAAACCAAAGTAAACGGTCATTTACTAGTGTCTTAGACGATCATTTACTAGGCTCGGTAAATCTCACATTAATTTCATTAACTCTACACAACTTTTGTATATTTGACCCTCTCTATACTTTTTCTTTTGTCTTAGGAACTTTTGGAGAACTTCTCTTGGCCGTTGTGGGCAACCAGGTATGGATCCTGAATATCTTAAGTTCTGCAAAACTTTCATTCTTTGGTCGTCTTCTGATTCCAAACGATATGATTTGAGAGAAATGATTTTCAAAACGTTTTTCTTGTGCGATTTGTGTTTTGTAATGATTGTAAGAAATGAGAATGACTTATATGGTTTTGTTCGTTTAATTTTTCTACAAATGATTTTATTATAAATTGGTATAGAAAAAAAAACTTACATATTTAGAACCTACTCTATACATTAAAAATTATACAAAACATGTGACATGACTATTTTAGTTTATCAAATAATGGATTTAAACGATTACACGAACAAGGTTATCAAATGTCGGGGATAATAAACAAGCCAATTTCATAGAAAAAGGCAGGTAAACGTTTTAGTGTACTACGAGTAAAATATTTAGATTTTGTTTTCTACTCATTGAACTACTACGCCCGAAACGTTCCTCCCATCTTTTTTTTGTCCATTTTAAAAAATTAATCGTATACTTTTTCATAATATTTTTTTTGTTGCTAATTAAATTTTGAGAATGCACATTCATTACGCTTACTAAGAACTGAAAACAAAATTGGAAAGAACAAAGAAGTCAGATGGAATACGAAAAGGCTAGAATCAGTGAATCACAAACAAACACTTCACAAGCTTCACAAATTTGTCTTTTTTGAATTCAAATTTAAATATATTTTATTATTTGAGTGCACCTTGTTTCTAGCAAAATGTTAAAAGGGTACGTTTGTAAATTTTGTGAACAGTTTATTTGTGACTATAGCATTACTCGATAGAATAATACTAAATTAAATACTCCGTACAGCCGTACTCCGTATGAAATAACCTTCATCACTGTCCTCTTGGTAGTGTTACAAATTTTTTTTCTTGAACAGGGTAGAATTACAATTTATTTCTAAACAATAGCAAGAAACACAAAATAAGCACACTTCATAGAGGACATGTGTGTGTGAAAGGTCAAAGATGGGATTTCCAAAATCCAGTAGGGCAGTATGCCAGTAATGCTTAGATTTGGGTTGCAAGGATTTTGTTAATAACTTCTGGTTTTCAATGCAAGAACAACAAACTCATCCACCGCAAATCGCGAAGAGGAAACTCGAGAAACAAATGGGATGAATTTGGCCTGGTTGTGATGTTCACTTGAAGAAAGTGCACGCGATAAACAAGAAGACATAAGCAACCAGAGATGTTAGGAGTTCAAGTGTCCAGGTTGGTTGTAGCAGAGATGACGGGATAGCAGGAACCAATAACGAACCAGTAAACCAACCAAACACAAGGGCTCCAAATCTGAAATATGGAGTATAAAAAAAATTATGGCATGTTACTTTTTTTTATAGCTGACAATTTTATTAAAGGGAAATTTCTGATAACTTCGGAGATTGAAATTCTAGGACTCACCCAATGATGGAAGCCCTAGCTATGTTCTTCGTCTTGTCATTGAGGAAATATATGCAAGCTCCCAAAGACAATGCTAC